AAATTAATTTAATTTAAATTAGATTGATGTGGTTTAATTTGATTGATTGGCTTTTAATATTATTAAATATATGAGATAATATAAAAAATTTTAACATTAAATAGAAAATATAGTTATAAAATATATTAACATCCAAATTACTAAAAACATAACGATAAAAACCCCAAAGAGATTAATGAGACTCACAACATTACAAGGGATTTCTAAACTCTAGGAAAACCAAATCAGATTTATAATAAGATCTTGACTAATTGTTTATGTTGCAACAAGAACCAAAGGTAAAAACATTGACTCGTTGTTTATGACGCAACAAGAACCAACGGTATAAAGTTAGTTGATGTCATACGCTCGAACGATTAAAAACGAGAATGATAAGTCATGTTAGAACGCCATAAAAATAATCTTGATAAGTTTTGTAAAGTTCTGAAACGAACCAAAAAGAAAAGTCTCTCAAAAACTCAGATTCAATAACTCCCCCAATTAGAGTTACAAACCCTTTAAATAGAGAAAAGTAATTCTAATCAGAATAAGAAACTAACACCTTAAGCCATAATCCTAATAGCCATGAATTAGGTCTCAAATAAATGAATGTTTAGCTCAAAATAATACAAAAAACGTGAAAATCACTGAAAGTAACCTAAAGTAACATGAAATATTAGTTTGTTACAAATTACAATATAATTGCAGGATTTTAATGCAAACTGTGTAATTTAGCATAAATGATCTCAATTAAATTTCTCTTGAATTTGAATGATGTTTACCATGCCTTGGTAATCATCCAAGTTTCAATTTACATATTACATGTTGTTATAAACCTAGATCTGCTCAATAATGCCATTTAAAGTTTTTCATATCTTCCTAACTCTAGCTTTCGTGACTAGACCTCCTGAAATGTATAAAGGATCTCTTGATGCGGTACATGTGGGGTCATCTTGATTTCCATCATGAAGTTATCATCTTATAAAATAAGAAAAAAATTTAAAATATTACAAAAAAATATTATATTATTTAATTAAATTATTGTGTAATCAGATTTTATTTTGTAATCAGACAGTTCGAGTAGTTTGAAGGTAAAATTACAAACCAAATCAATTATATCAGTTTTAAAATTTTATAATCCAAACCAACCTAATTTTATATAAGTTTGGTTCAGTTTTTTATTAGATTGGATCAGTTTAGGTCAGATCAATTGAATTAGATCGAATGTGAACACCCCTAGTTGTAATAGCTTTTATTACACTAAAAATAAAATTAAAAAAATACTAACCATTTCTTTTTTTGAACAGAGGCTATTTTTCAAGGAAAGAAAAAGTGAGCCGTGACAATAGAACTTAAATCATTTATATTCAGTCATGTATTTTAAATTATTTAAATTATATTAAATTATAAAATCTTAATAATTATTAAAGTAAAAAAATTGTCATTTAATAGTTGATATTTTATTGTTTAAACTAAAAAAACAAATGATTGATTTCTCTCATGTGCCCTCTGGTTAAGCTATGCTCCTCAACGAAGAGCAAGTGGAGATCACTCATTATCCCAGGTTCGAGCCCTCATACTTGCTAACAAATACTAAGACAATTAGACTAACCAAGTTTCTATTGTCAAAAAAAAAAAAAAAAACAAAAACAAATGATTCAGTAAAATAATATGAGAAGAGAAAGAAACTAATTATGTGTGATGCAAATCGTTCATAGTTGTATTTGTGGCTATTGTTAGTGGTTTTGTATCGGCGACCAATCAAGTAGATAGGAGGATTTGTCATCTACTTAATATTTGATTCTCAGTGAATTACGTGTTCAGTAAAGATTGTGTCAACTGTCAAGTTTTCAATCCGGAGAAAAAATATCCAACATAGGCTTAAAATTGCGGTAAAAACCAATGTTTAACTCCTCACTTTATATAATTGGTAAGTTTTAGTTTCTTATTTGTTTAACTTTTTATTTTATAAAATTGATAAATTTTACTCTCTTACCTTATAAATTAGTAAGTCTTAACATCTTATCTTATATTATGATATTTTTAGTCTTTTACCTAACAAAACATGAAATTTAAAAACTAAAAATATCATTATAAAAAACACAAAATTCCATTATAAAAAACACGAAATTTAAATTTAATTTTATTTGTTAATTTCATTAATGAAATAGTAACGGATGCTAACAGTTAACTAACAGAACTAATAGTTAACTAATAGAACTAACAGTTAGTTAACAAAACTGACAGTCAGATAATAAAACTAATAAAATATTATAATTTGATGTTAAATAAGGACTATTTTCTTTAATTCATACAGATAAAGGACTAAAAATGTTATAATATAAGGTAAAAGGCTAAAATCTACCAATTTTGTAAAGTAATGAATTAAAACTTATTAATTTTATAAGGTAAAAAACTAAAAATGTCATATTATAAAGTTATGGTTAAAATTTATCAATTTTGTAAGGTGAAGGGTTAAAAGTTGGTTTTAGCCCAAAATTGCTGCCCAATCAAAACTTTGTTCTGTCATGGCAACACAACAGCGACTTGAACAATTGCTTAACAAGAATATCTGAAAAGAATTCCTTGCGTATAGATCATCACAGCAAATTTAGTGTGGATTTAGTGTCATTTGGTGTGGTTGGAGTTTTTAATAAAAGTTATGTTGAAAAAAAATTGTTATAAAAGTACTATTTTTTAAGTAGAAAGAAAAATAAAGATAAAATATGAAACATGTGTTAATTTTATTAAAACTTAAATAAGAAGTTTTTGCAAAAATATTAATTCAGTACTTTTAAGATTTGTAACAAAATCGACAAAATATTAACTTATGAGAAATTGTAATATATTTTATAAATTATAATGTTTAATGTACTTGAAACTTTTAGAATTCAAAAAAACCTTCTCACCAGCTGTACGAAACATAACTTTACTTTCTTATTTGCCCCTTATCTTATATGTGGACCAAATTACTGTAGCTTATAGGTATTCATTAAGGGCAGGCATTTAAAATATGTTTGACGTTTTTTATTTGAACCATGACAACTTTAGACTGGGGGAAGGGTGAGTTGCAATTGTACTTGACTTTTAAACCCAACTTTTGAGGCTTATTACTTACTTTAGTTTTATTTGATAATACTTGGTACAAATATTTATAATATATTATTTAAAAATATAAAATTTTAATTTTTAATTAATTTTATATATTTATTAATTTTGGTTAATATTTTATTTATTTTTAAAAAATAAATAATAAAAAAACTACAATCATATCCCTACCACTGAGAAAACTAATACAGTTTATAATAAATTGGGTAGGCCTGCATTAAAGAAAAAAAGGGGCCGA